TGAGGTGAGGTGAGGAGAGGTGAGGAGAGGTAAGGTGAGAAGAGGTGAGGTGAGGAGAGGTGAGGTGAGGAGAGGTGAGGTGAGGTGAGGTGAGGTGAGGTGAGGAGAGGTGAGGTGAGGTGAGAAGAATAAGAAAAGATAAGACTATAAGGAGAGAGTCATCTCTGTAGTGTGGCTGTCTTGCAGCTGATGTAGAAGATATGATTGGACAAGGAAAGAGGAAACAAGAGATAAAATAAGATAGTTTTAGTTTTAGTAGAGGTTTTACGGCGCTCGCAACTGCATAAGATCATATGAGCGCCAGAAGATTAGAGGTGTGACAAGAGAGTAACTAACATAAAAAAGAACAAGGGGAGATAAGGACGATAGATGTTTGATAGGAAAGAAGGAGCAAACCGCACCAGAGCACCCGCCAACCACCCACTAAAATAAGATAGACAAGAGATAAAATTAGATATGACAAGAGTTTTAAAAACACATAACTTACTTTGCCCAAATGAAGCTGAATATAGACGCATGTATGAACACCAATGCTTTCATTATTATTCAGATATGTCGGACTACAGAAAGAAATATTTTAAAATTTCACCTCAGTCTCCACTAACAAGATAATCAACTACCCTGGAAAAACCACGCATCTGACAAAATTCAGAACAAGACAAGACCTCAAAGGAAAACTGTCACTTACCATCTGGACAATAAAGTCCGACAGGATTTTCTCTTTCTTCTCATTCATGCGAGTGTCGCACATGAAGCGCAAGATCTGTGGGGGGAAAAAACACATAAGTCAACAATAGATCTATAGCTAGATACACAGTTGGTGAGGGGGATTTTTAAAAGAGGGAAAATCGAAAATATGGCCTAGTAGTACATGTAGCGACAGGCAAATTTCTTCGGACACACAATGCGGAAAGAAGCATTAAAGAATGTTGTCACAACAGAAAAGTTTGAGGGAAAGAGAGGCAGAGGCAGACAGAGGGAAAAGATACTGGACAAGATGACAACATGGCTGGGAGCAGCAAGAACAACAGACACCATTGCTGCAGCGAAGGACAGGGTGAAGTGGAGGTCCATGATCGCCCACGCCAGTCGGCAAGGCACCGGATGATGATGATGAGTACATGTAGAAAACTATCAAGTTAAAGATGGTAATCTTGAAAACAGAAGAAAGACAAAACACAATGTAAGGAATTACGTATAAACAAAACCCCAAATTATACTATCATTGACTAAAGATAAGTAAAATACAAAATACAACATTCACTCTTGTTACGTCTTACTCCAAGAATTTATACTATTATTATCGTTATCATTATTAACATTATTATTTTTTTCATTAACATTATCATCATTATTCCACAAATCATCACTTCTATCCACAGATCATGAACATCCAGCTCCAACAGCTGAGAAGAAATGCTGTTTGACATCTTCCATCTGACACACTATACATGTATAGAACATGTTCCTAGGACATGTTTCATCTGACCACTGTACGACAGGTTGACATGTTCCGTGTCCAAGTTTGCACTCACCAGTTTGAAAACAGCCAGGGCCTTGACCGTGTTGTCGTCTCCCTGCACGGGGGTGAGGGAGGAGCTGATTGGCTCCATCTGGACACCCCAGTTGGGGTTCTGGGGATACAGAGAGATGAATATAGATGGGAATGTTGATAGGGAGAGGGAGAGAAGGAGAGAGAAGTAATGAGATGGCTTCAATCTCAAATAAATGGGGGAGGAGAGAGAGAGAGAGAGAGGGAGGGGGAGAGGGGTAGGGGAGAGAGACAGCAAGGGAGGGAGAGGGAACTGCTTTGTACTGAGGCTGAGGAGACAGGGTGAGTGTGAGAGAATGAGAGGAGAGGGTGGGGGAGAGAAAGAGGGAGGGGGAGAGAGAGGGGGAGAGAGAGAGTGAGGAAGGGAGAGAGAGAGAGGGAGAGAGGGAGAGAGAAATGGATGGAGAGAGGGAGAGAGAGACAGGGGGATAGAGAGAGAGGGAGAGAGAGAGGGAGTGAAAGTATAAATAGGCGCATTAAGCACTTTTTTAGAGGAAATATCACCAAGAACTCAGGCTATAAAGGAAGAGGAAGGCCACACAAAAGGTGGATCGAGGGTGTCAAGGAAACCCTGAGAAATTATTATATCCCAACTGAAAGAGCTGCAGAGCTGGCCTACCATAGAAAACTGCATCTCCCCTCGACGCTTAACAGCAACAGAGAGATGAACCAGTAAAAGTAAAGTAAGTATTTAAGGAAATGCCCTTTCTCTCTCCCCATAACCCACAACCCATCCACCCATCCATCGCAACCCTACTAAAAAACGTAGACAAAATCCAACCCCTCACCATTGACAGCCTGGTTCCTCTCCGTGTGATTAAACACCAGACAGTTGTTGGTGTTCCAAGGGTTGTCGCAGCTGATCCAGGGGAGGGAATCCGTGAAGGAAGCGAACAGGTAGAAGAGCACTTGCGCAATAATCACGTTGTAATACAGACTGATGAGCCAAGACACAATGACCATTGCATAACCCAAACCTGCAGGGAGAAAACACAACATTAACATTGAATTATAATCACTCAGAACAGAAATGTACAAACAAAAGAAGAAGAAGAAGAAGGAGGAGGAGGAGGAGGAGGAGGAT